CCCCCCCCCCCCACCAGCCATGCCCAACCCACTCAAGCTGCAACCCTTTTTAAAAGTTAATTTATTTCCACCAGACACATATCTCAGGGATCTAAAGATCGCCTCATCCAAATTCTGTAAAAAACTCCATGTGGGGGAAAAGCCTAATTATTGTGAATTTCCAGCAAAGTGCTCTGGAAAGACTAACTGGGGAGGAGGAGGAAAGAAAAAGGAAAGCAGAAGGTATTTTTTAGAACTAATAATACTAGTCGGGCTAATGGCACTGCCTTTGCACAGTGGCCAGCCCTCCATCCCTCTGCGAGGGACCAAAGTTTTGCCACCACAAAATATGCTTCTTGGGATATTGATTTTTTAAGTTGGTTATAAAGAAATTAAAGGCTCATAAAAAACCTTTGGCTCTCCAACTTGCGTGCCTAAAGGAATACAGATAGAAAACCTGCTTAAAGGATGGGAGCATCACCATAGCATCATAACATAAATTAAATGTGGCAGACAGGGACAAATACAGCAGCGCCTGTTTTTTGGATATCCCTCTATGTCCAACTGTTTCTGGGTGGCCCAGCAAGAATTTATTTACCACATGTTTGCTCTTTCTCATTTACCTGTAAATTGCCTGCTTTCCCTTTGAAATCCCAGACGCCTGCCTCCCTCTCCTTTGACCAGAATGGCATATAAACCTCAACTGCCCAATGCCTCCTTGGGTCTCATATCTTATGGCACCCCTGCATATACATCTGTAATAAATTTGGACACATTTTCTCCTGTTAATGTGTCTCATGTTAATTTGATCATTAGCCCAGCTAGAAGAACTTAGAAGGTGGAAGGAAAAATTATTTTGTCTCCAAACCTCTGACTAAAGGGGCTCTTTTATTTGGAGATGTGGACAGTCCATCATTTCAAAACTGAAATGGCAGCTGGAAAATGTGGAACAGCTGGCAAAGAGCTGGGAGAAAATGTTTTACATAAATACATGTACATATAAACTGGCAGAGGGCCATGAGCACTGTACCCAAAGCCAGAATCTATTGGGCACTGCACACCAGGGAGATGTGAAGTTGGAGAATGCCTCCTTAAGCCGTTTTATACAAGGGGTCAGCAAGGGAAACCTGAGTCCAGCCTCTCTAGGGCATCTCCTGAAGCAGGTGCAATCAGGAAGAGGAGCACAAAGTTCAGGGAAGGATAAAAGGTCCGGGTGTGCAGTGGTGCTTTGACATCTGGCAATCTGCTTAAAAGTCGCTTCACAAAGTCTCCAAGTTTGGGGTATTTACTCTCTTCACCACCTCCCGCCCATTTCCCCACCTAACTCAAGAAAGTAACTGTCCCCTGCAGAATGGTTCATACACAACTGTGAAAATGCGGTCTCTTAAGTGAATATCGCAGGGGCCACGGTTATTTACACCCCAGCACTCACTCCCCGCAGCTTCTAACGCTTTTAGTTCTGTTTTCTTTCTTTTTGTGTGTTTGTGATGTTCCTGAAAAGGAAAAGAAGTGAAAGGATTCCAAATCATACACAGATGGTACAACTTTCACTTTTCCTCTATTACAACAGAGGCGCGCCTCTTTCAGGGACCACACCGCTCCCCCGCCCTCGGAAAGAAGGCGCAGGCTAGAGGAAGCCCGGCAGCCGCAAGCCTGGCGCGGACCCGCCGGCTGCCCGCTGCGCCAGGCACCCGAGGACGAAACAGTGCGCAAGCAGGCGCCCGAGCTTTGGGGTCTAACTTAGTTCTCTTTCACCCTTTAGATGGGGAGTGGGGGTGAGGTGCGCCATCGCCACTGCAGTAAACTTCGTCCCCCTCTGGGATGTGCAATTCTCCAGTCCGTCTCCGGATAGCCGAGGAAAGGCAGCTTCAAGGAGGAGGAAGCGAATGAAAGCCTTGCTCTGACGCCTTACCATTGCTCTGTAAAGCTGAGCGCCTTTGACAGCCATTTTCACTTCCTCCCGTTCCCCCAATTGGAGACCCTCTCTTGGCCCTGGAAGCGCCGGCGCGGCTGCAGGAGCTGGCTACCCTGTACGGGGCCCTCGAAACAAAGAACTTCGGGCGGGACGTACCTGCGGCAACAGCGGCGGCGGCGGCTGTCAAGTCCCCTAACTTCCCATAGACCCGCGTCCGGGACGCAGGAGGGCGGCTCCAGGCTCCGCGAGGCGCGAACCACTAAGGCTACAGCGAGCGGCGAGGCTGGGAGCAGAGTGCGGACCGCCCGCAAGTGCGGCGGGGGCGGCCGGGGGAGGACGAGTCAGGGAGGTGAGTGTGCGCGACCGCGAGTGTGCGAGCGCGCCCGTGGAGCTGCCCCTGCCCGTTCCCTCCTGTTCGTGCAGCTCCAGCGTCCGTTTCAGGGATCGTGTAATCCGATCCCTCTGACTCATAGGCCCTGAGTGACAGTTCTGATTTGGTTAACCCACGGGAAGGAGGGAAAAGAGAAAGAAAGCCCCCACTGTATGTCTCTCCCGGCATCCAATCGACTTTCTCGAAGAAGGTCCCATCCAGTCCAGGAGACACCGGCTGGGGAAGGAGCCCCCAGCCCCGGCCCAGGGCAGCCCACTCTACTTAGGCCGTGGAAAAGTTGTCTCTTGGCTCTGCGCGCCCCTCCCAGGAGTTCCCTCCTTCCCTTCTCTCCTCTTCCTCCTCCTCCAACCCGTGCTCCTCCTCCCCCAAGTTTTAACAGATGTTGCGGGACTCTCCCCTCACCCTCGCACTCCTTTTTCCTCCGCCCAAACCCCCGCCCCGTCCCTTTCTTTCTGCCACTCTCTAGCGGGAGGAGCAGCTGGACGCCTGCCGCCGCAGGAGGCGAAGTTTGGAAAACTTAAGAGTGCAGCTCGCCTTACTTTTGCTTTCTCGCTCCTTCCAGGCCGTGCCTTGTCCCCTCACCCGGAGTGGGTTCCTACTACGATGCGGGCGGCACGGCGCCGGTCGAGGGTTGGGGAGAGCCTGGGCGCCCCGAGCCACGCGCGCGCTCCTTCTCCCCTCCGCCTCCCCCGCCTTTCTCCAGTCCTCGCACAGACACATTCAGGCCTGCTCCTCCTCTTCCCCCTCCTTGACCCCGCGCCCGCTCGGCGCGCCGAGGCCCCACCCACTGGGCTAGGGGAAGGGGCCGGGGCCTGATGTCAAGGCCGCCCTCCCAGCCTTTGCGCAAGGGATCCCCTGGAAGCACTCGCCGGCCTCCACCTCAGCACCCCGCGCAAGGGGGGGGGGGG